AACCGATGCCGAAACCTATCAAATCACGTCCGATTGACCCCAAATTTTGCACACAAGTCATATTCAACATTATGGACATATTCCAACTTCCGGAATCGGAATCCGACCCCGATATCAAAAATTCCACTTCCGGTCAAAATCTTCAAAAATTCGACTTTCGCCATTTCAAGCCCAAATCAGCTACAGAACTCCAAAACACAATTCGGATATGCCCTTAAGTCCAAGATCACCCAACGGAGCTAACGAAACCGACAAAACTCCATTCTGGAGTCATCTTTACACAATTCCGACTACGGTCAAAATCCTATGGCTTAAGATTCTGTTTTAGGGACTAAGTGTCCCAAAACACTCCGAAACCAAAAACGAAACCTCCCGGCAAGTCACATAAGCAGAAATAGATACGGGGGAAGCATTTAATAGGGGATCGGGGCTAATACTCTCAAAACGACCGGCAGGGTCGTTACACTAACCTTAGGTTGAAAGTAGTGACGAGCTGGGACAAAGGTCAGAGTCCAACACCAATAGCCAACAACATCTCATAATAGTATAATAAAAGTGGTACAGGAAATAACTTAGAGATATGATGCTCAGCAAGTTCACAGTTACGGAAAATAGTCATGCTTTTCAAGTATAACTGTAAAACCCAAATCCTTTACCAAAATCACCAAAATATGAGTAAGTCAGAAACTTTTGATTTTTCCAAAAAAAACTTTCAGCAACAGATAAGATGATTCAATCTCAGATAGCATGAGTAAAGTACATCTATATGCCTACATGTCAATGTGCATGTGGAGTCATAAATGTCACAAAACCGTGTAACACGAGGAAATGCATCTCTATGCATGTATGTCAAGTATGCATGTCAGCAGCAATGCATCATAATGATGAATTTATGTACTCACACTCTCAGAGTACTCAATATCACAATCTCACACTCCCACTCATCACGCTCAAACACTCAGCACACTCAGTCACTCAGCATTGTACGGTACCTCCTGTGACGCACAACCCGATCCCATCATGAATCAACAGTAAATGCGCACACTGTGGGTGTGCAGACTCCGAAGGGACGGATCTTGCCCGAGCACTAATATAACCTGTTGCGGCATGCAGCCCGATCCCGTCATGAATCAATAGTACCTACTGCGGCGTGCAGTCTAATCCCATCATGAATCAATAATACCTTATACAGCGTGCAGCCCGATCCCATTATAAATCAATAATATCTGATGCGGTGTGCAACCTGATCCCATCAATATCACTCATAATCCGACCCTCTGTCCCCAACTCAGTCATCAATCTCTCCAGTCTCTCGGGCTCACAAATCTCATGCCAAACAGCCCAAATAATGATAACAACATGATGTGACAACAAATGATAACAGAAACTGAGATATGATATGTAAATGAATGAATATGACTGAGTATGTAAATGTAATTTAAGCAAATAATCCAATAATAGAAATGACCTCAGTAGGTCCCAACAGAATAAGCGTATAGCGTAAACATGGTTTCTAACGATCACAACTCAATTACTCTAGCACGTAGAGATTTCATGGATAAAAATAAGATTAGGTAGCTACACAGAATCAATCGAGTCATAATTCACACGGTGCACGCTCACACGCCGGTTACCTAGAATGTGCGTCACCTCAACACCAAACATATAACACATATATTCAGGGGTTCATACCCTCAGCACCAAGTTTAGAAGTGTTACTTACCTCGAACAAGCCAAATCCAATATTGAGCAAGCCAAACAATACTCTAGAAATGTCATCCCGTGCGCATCAACCTCCGAACGGTTCGAAACTAGCCAAAAGCAACTCAAATACATCAAATAATGCCTAAGGAAACAAACTCAATCGATAAAGGTCGAATCTTTAATCAAAAGTCCAAAGTCAACCAAAAAGTCAAACCCGGACTCGCACCTTGGAACACGACAAAACTCACAAAATCCCACAATACATTCAGTTACGAGTCCAACCATACTAGTTTCACTCAAATCTAACTCTGAATCGATGTTCAAAACTCAAATATTCACTCTATGGAACTTTAGACAAAAACCTCCCAATTTCTCTTTTGAATTCATCAAACAAATGCAAAAAACAAGGACAAATTCATGAAATATAATCAAAATCGAGTAGAGAACACTTACCCCTAATCCATATGGCGAACATCGCTTCAAAAATCATTTCAATCGGAGTTCCATAACTCCAAATATGCAAAAATGGTTGAAACCTCCGAAGTAGAGTACTTTATAATCACTGGACGAGTCAATGAATCGCGATCGCGGAAATAATATTGCTATCGCAAAGAAGAAAATGCACTGCCCCTAAAAATGCACTACGTGATCGCGGAGCAAGCTTCGCGATCGCGAAGCACAAACTGCTCAGTCTCGAAAAGTCTCTACGCGAACGCGGCCCCAGCCTCGAACGTGATGAAGAAGCCATGAAGACATGCCCAGCTCATCTCTACAATGCGAATGTGTGCACACTTGCGTGAATGCGATGCTCAATCTGCAACAACCTATGCAAACATAGAAAATTACTCACGAACGCGAAGAAGAAATACTCAGCTCTAGATTTTTCCTACACGTGATCGCACCTCTAACTTCGCGATCACGAAGAACACTTGGTGCACCAGACATCAGCAGGAACCAACAATGCAATTTTGAAGTAAAATGGTCCGCAATTGATCCGAATCACACCCGAGCCACTCAGGACCCCATCCGAACATTCTAACAAATATATAACATAACACGAACCTACTCAAGGCCTCAAATCACACATAACAACATCGAAACGACGAATCGCACCTCGAATCAAACTTAAATGAACTTTCAACTTCCAAAACTCGTGCTAAACTATATCAAATCAACTTGGAATGAACTCAAATTTTGAACACAAGTCCCAAATGACATAACGACGCTAGTCCAATTCCCGGAACCACAATCCGAATCCAAAATCATCAAAGTCAACTCTCGGTCAAACTTATGAACATTCCAAACCTTTAAATTTCCAACTTTCGCCAATTAGTACCGAAACCTTTTAGAAATATCCAAATGCAAATCCAAGCATACGCCCGAGTCCAAAATCACCATCCGGACCTAACAAAGCCATCAAAACTCCAGTCCGAGGTCAAATACTCAAAAGTCAAATTTGGTCAACTCTTCCAATTTTAAAGTTTCAATCATGAAATTCATTCTTCCAAATCATTTTCGAATAACCTGAAAACCAAAATCGACGATTCACACAAGTCATAATACATCATACGATGCTGCTCAAGACTTCGAATAGCTGAACGGAATGCAAATGCTCAAAACGATCGGCTGGGTCGTTACATTTCCTCCNAAAGCAACAAGTAGGGTCGTTGCATTCTCCCCCACTTAAACATGCATTCATCCTCGAACGTGCCAAGAGTCATTTCAAAGCCATCAAATCGATGTGTAACCTTACCATGCACATACCCGAGGATGATCCCACGTCACCCTATTCCATATAGGCTCGACAACATAACCTAACTGAAGATCCTTAATTCAACCTTAACTCATAAACCTTGAAACCCAATTTCCAACATCCGAAATTCCTTACAAGACCCGAATTTCGCATCTACACATTGCACATGTCTGAACAAGCTATATCGAGCCATAATCTTAACCCAAGATGTAATCACATGATATACCACATAACTCAAATACTCATAGCAATAACTTTCGACCGCAATAGCTGCTCAAAAAAAATCTGGTATCGGTAATAAACCTCATATCAAACAGAACCTCGTTTTAAAATCTCCGTACACTGCCGATGATGAAAGAAACACGCAGAAACTCATAACCACTCACCAAATCAACTCACAGAGCTCTCTCGCCTAACCAAAACCATAGACCAAATTCTAAGTTTACTTCCGATATTACTCTTCCGAACACATCGTAATCAAATTCGATAGCAACCACTTCAGGCCCAAAAATTTCATCTCATCAAATACAAGCTACTCTACTGACATGCTATACCAATACTATCCGGAGCCACAAACCATGTAATCCGTGCACTAATATGCAACAATTCAAATTAACTTGGATAATTATGACACTGTAGTTTTGCTTACACATACTTTTTTTTTAACTTACATTTGGATAACTTTTGAAGTCTTTGTAGGAATGATAAAAAAAAAAAAAAGGCCCTTGAGTAGAAGAAGAAGATTGAAACGTTAAAAGCAACATAACCAGAAACATGTGTAAAATATTATTGATTTTTTTATTTTTATCTTTGTTTTATAATTTAGGGATATTTTTTTCCAAATATTAATTACTTACTACAAACTAGGTATAACTTAAATAATTTTAAAATATTGACTGTAGATTAAACGGCGATACTAATATTGAATGTAGTGCACTTGTCCCGAGTTCGAGAATAGTGGACCAAATATACCTTTTTGTTACTAACAAATTTAATTCACATATATAATTGACATAAAACATATATTCAAGGATTTTTTGTAGATACAAAATTAGGACAATATTACCCGTTTTAGCTAGGTTTTCCTATTCACAAGAAGATACTAGAATATTTCTTATAAAATATATACAAATTTAGCCAAGATATATAATTTATATACAACATGTATATAGTATTTTACTGTACATAATCCGATCAAAATATACAACTTATATATAATTATTTTGGGTATAAAATTCGATCGAACACATACAACTTGCATACAATTATGTTAATTGTATGTATTGTGTATGTCGTTTGGGAAAATACATAAGTACCCCCTTACGGATAGTCGGATTTTCAACTACACGCTTTATCTTTGCGGGGATTCTATAACACCCCTAAACCTTTTTAAAATAAAATAAACACACCCTTAAAACTGGACAACCAGATTTCTGATGGGGAGTGTTGTGTACGCACTGCTAGCTAATAATGTTTTTTTCTTTTTTCTTTTTTCTTTTTTTCTTCTTTTTTTTCTTATTATATTCCAATTTCATATGCATGGATGTCGGCGAATGTGAAATTATTTTTCGATTTTAGAGCCAGAGAATGTGAATTAGTTAATGAAAATCGTAGTTCGAGCCAGAGCAGTACTGTTGAGTCGTCGCCGGCGGTAATAGTGGAGAACTCGTCGCCGGCAATGATGTTGGACTCATCGCCGTTGAATCTCAGCTTTGGTGAATCCGGTAGTTTATTTAGCATGGTGTGGGTAGGTTTTTGTTGCAGAACCATTTGTTTCACGGTTCTCCGGTCGCCAGAGGAATCGACGGAGGTATGACCCCCGTGAATCATATGTACTATTTGGAAGCTCTACAACGAGCGAGAGTGGTTTTTTCATAACAAAAATTTTGCTAGAAAACGGCGGAGTTTAATGTCGACGTTGGTGGAGGTGGTTCCGGCGAATAAAAAAAAACTGTTAGTCTAAGTTATAGTGATAACTAATTAAGTCTAAAATAATGATATTATTTTCAACTAAAAATTGCCACTTGTATAAACTAATCAGTTTTAAACTTAAATTTTTCCTATCACATGCTTTCAAAAGAGTGAACACACTCAGTTTACTTTCAACTATAAAATCTTGTATTTTCTCCAATGCTTTCTTCCATTGATTTATCCATCAGCTTCCTCCCATGTCTCCTCCCAACTTTCACATCCATAGAGCCCACTAAAAGAAAAATGTATCTTATCATATTTTTTCGTTCCTGTGATTCAAATTCAAGACTTCAAATAAATTACAAATATTAGACATGCTGCTCATGCTACAATAGAACATCTAATTTAGGCAAATAATATGTGAAAATAATATGCTGAACATTGCAAATACAAGATGGTAAGAAAATGAAACATACAGTGACATATATCACTTCGAACAAGCTATCATTCAAAATTGACATATTCCTACTACATTGATTAAATATTATAGCGCCACAATAGAAGTTGGCAAAATTGAAGCACAACTTAAACTCAATAAGCAAAATTGTTTTCTTTCATATCTAGACCAACAAAATAATGTCAAACGGAAAAGCAACAAAGTTAATATCATTGATAGGCCATAGCCGAAACGACTTGCTAGCTTTCTCTCTCTCCCATGAACAACGTCATCATCAACTCAGACATGGATCTGAATTCACACATCCCCCAAAAACCTCTGGAATTCCCAACGAACTCAAGCGTGGGGAACAAAGCACCCAAATTTCATCTTTCAAGGAAAAATTACTAGCCTATGAATCCATGGCAGATATCAACTCAATGATCCAAGATAGCCCCTATCCCCTGTCAACTCACATGTCCAAGAATCTCAAAGTGACACAACCATGGAAACCATGATGTTGGATACTCCTACTACTAGTACTAAGGGTATCAAAAAAAATAATATTAACTGAAGCCCACCGGAATAGGATGTACTCGTCATGGAAATACTCTTTGATTATAAAATTGATTGGGAAAAGAATCCAACCATAGGCGGATGTAGCTTAGTGGCTACGGGTTCAACTGAACCCATAACTTTTGATGCGGAGTAAAAATTTATATGTAAAAATTTATTAAAATTGTAAAAATAGTAGATATTAACCCATAACTTTAAAAATATAATGGGTTCAATGCTAAAAATCTTAAAACTGAACCCATAAGATTTAAATTCTGGATCCGCCTCTGAATCCAACATCAATAACCTAAGAGAAAAAACCTCTAAGCTTTGGAAACCCACTGAAACTTTTCATCTAATTGATCTGGCCATGACTACTTCATTATCAAGTTCACTAAGGATGAAAATATGATACAAGCTCTTCAGAATGGCCCATGGTTCATTAATGGCTACTTTCTTTCAGTGCGACAGTGGGAACCAAATTTTGTGGCAAAAAAAACCAAACAGATTCACATGACAGTCTGGGTTCGACTGCCACAACTCCCTACAAAATTCTATGATGGCATATACTAAAAAAAATTGGCAACTCAATTGGAAAGATTCTCAAGATTGACACATGCACCAGCGCTACCCTCAGAGGAAGATACGCGCGTCTCTGTATTGAATTGCCATTAGATAGACCAGTTCAAACATGCATCCTAATAGGCACACACTTACAACAACTTGTTTATGAAGGGAATAACTTCCTATGCAAAAAATTGTGGCCACCTTGGGCACACAGCTAACACATGTCTTCAAGCACCAAAAAATACAGAGATAACGATGGATTACAACAACGATTTACAGGATCTTGACAAAAAAAAGGAGCATCCGACAACCTCCACCAGAAGATCCATGGAAAGCAGTCACCTTCAACAGGCGGAGGAACCAAGGAAAAGAGAAATCGACAGAAAAATAATACAGAAATTCCCTAGCAATTAATTCACAACTAGGTGCTAGTATCGATGTTAAAATCTATGACGCAGTGTCGAGTAAGTATCTCAACACCCAGAAATTAACTTACAAAGCTATTAATAACCCTATTCTCTTTAATAACTCTGACAATATGGGCCCTAACAATATTAATGCAATCCCTCTTCCTAATGTTAAGAAAGATGAGTTAATACCCACTTCTAATATATTTGATTCTCTGTTAATTCAGGAATCTACTTCCATCACAGCAGAAAAATAAACGAATTCTGTCAGTGACAAACATGTTGCATACGCCTCCCTTTCGATAACTCCTAAGCACTCCCTAGCCCTCACAAGAGCAGTCACTCAAGAAGATACACGTGGCAACCCAAACTCATGCAACTACTCAAACCTTAATCTACTTGCCAACTCAGTGCCAACTAATCACCCTACCTATAGGGCCAACACGCATACTATCTCTCCTTCTAAAGCCCAAAAATTACAACAACACTTGGCAAAAGACATTAACCAAGTGTCAATTACAACACTCCCTCCAATCACCGATAATCCCCTTCCTCGATCTTCCCCTTCTCCCATGCATGCAAAATCTTCCCTTTTAGATTTGCAATCATTAACACCAAATATGCACTCAACCATACCATTTATATCTTCCCCCTTGAAAAATAATGAACGTCCAGACCATCCTCAACAGAGCCAAAATATTTTCACAATTCTTGCTAAGGAAAACAATAGCGCACTTCCCACCTTTTCCACCACAGATTCCCTTCCACCCTCCAACCTTTGTATCGCCACCCCCGATTCCCAACCAAGATCCACAAACTTGGATAGAACAGGGGTTACAAGGCCATGCAGTCTTCTTCTCGATGATCATCAATGGTCAGGAAGTATGGATTTTTCTACAGAATCTGAACTTCCTAGCACAACTAATCTCGGAGGGAATCGCCGTAGCAATGTGGAATTACATAAATCACATGTGGCTAGCCAACGTTCTAGATCCAGCCCCAGCTCTAGCTCCGGCCCTATTCTACAACATGCAAGCACATTGAAACCTCACGCAACACTTTAACCCCCCCCCCNCCTACTTTTTACCCATGGCAGTCAATCCCACAACACAATCCGATCCCACTGGATATCCACAACCAACAACACCCTCCCAACGAGTAAGAACAAGAGATCCAAGAGATACTAGAAGAGATGCTAGAGGAAATAATCACTCCACAGGTCAGGAGATTGTTCACTGAAATTTCAAGCATCAGAGAATCATCTCTCATGCTATTCTAAGATACGGAGGACAGGAAGTACATACTCAAGTGTCCAGTAGCCCTTTACAAATGCTCCATCGACATCCGCCCTCCAATCCTAGAAGCGACAAGAAACTTTGCAGTAGTACTGAGCCCATCTCTGAGGAAATTCACTCAAACTCCTACATGAGGGACTAGGGAACAACAATCTCAACAACAATCATCTCCTAATGAATAGATCAATGAGTCTTGTAGTTTGGAACATTAGAGGTGCAACAATAATGAGTTTAAAAGAAATTTTAGGGAATTGCTTAATACTCATAACCCTGCCATGGTTGCATTGTTGGAAACAAAAATGACTGATCATACCTTTCTCCGTGATGAGTTTCATTTCTCTGATATGCTGGAGGTTCCAGCCATAGGCCTTGCTGGAGGAATAGTTATCCTTTTGTTTGGGAATTTAGTTACACTGAATCTCGTAAGAAGATCCCACCAGAAAATCCATGCAATGCTTCAGGTATCTCCTATCCAAACCCCTAGTCTTATTAGTATTTTATACGGCAGTACTTCTCTTAATCTGCGTAGTAATTTTTGGAATAGCCTTTATGCCATAGCGGACACTTATCAAGGACATTGGCTAGTAGTAGGGGATTTTAATGAAATACTCTCCCAAAACGAAATACGGTTGTAGACCTATTAATACTCAATGCTCCACACACTTTTGGTCATGTGTGAATTATTGCAATTTAATAGACCTAGGCTTTAAAGGTGCAAAATATACCTGGACTAACCATAGAATAAACTCCAATGGTCTAATCCTAGAACGACTAGACATATGTCTTGCTAACACCTTGTGGCTCAACCAATATCATGATGCATCTATCACTCATTTACCTCGAATTCACTCAGACCATACGCCTCTACTTCTCCAATTCAAAAGGTTTGCCCCTCCCCTTAGTAGGAAACGCTTTAGGCTTGAAACCTTTTGGTATTATCACAATGAATTTGACACCATTGTCAAAGACTCTTGGCATGAGAGAAAACTTTTTGAAGCCACTGACTATTTCCAACATAGGTTTATGCACTGGGCAAAGGCCACCTTTGGTAATACTAATAGGAAAATAAATAGAATCCTTGCGAGACTCCAAGGTATCCAATCCTCCCCAAATTATCCCACTAGCCATTTTCTACACCTTCTAGAAAATGATCTTATATCTAATTATAGCAACATCTTGAAAATAGAGGAAGATTATTGGAAAATTTGTTCCTGTTTAAATTGGCTCAACGATAGGGACGCAAATACAAAATTCTTCCACCTAAGTATTGTAAATTATAGAAGAAAGAATAGTATTTCCTTTTTCAAAGATAGTGATGGTAATTAGATCAATGATCCAGCACAAATCCTTAATCACACTGCTCAATATTTCCAAAATGCTTTTCAAACTGACCATATAGAAACACTCCTGGAAAATATCCATAATTCACAAACTAACTTCGAAAATATAGATCTTTCTGAACTGGACTGCTCGTTAAAAGATTTTGAAGTTACCCGTACTATATTTTTCTTTAAACCATTTAAAGCCCCGGGCCCTGATGGAATCCACCCCCTTTTTTTACCAAATATATTGGCATGTAGTTAGAAATTTTGTCTTAACCTTTTGCTATAATATTTTCAAGAATCGCTTAATTCCTGAAGCCCTAAACTCTACCTATATCTGTCTCATCCCAAAATTTCACTATGCGAACAATATCAATAATTTTCTCCCTATAGGACTTTGTAACACTATTTACAAGGTTATTACTAAAATTATTGTTAACAGAATCAAGCC